AACGTTTCTCCAAATCACACCGGCACTTGCCTTTTGTAGAAAACATGCCGTTTGCAGCTTCTTTTGGAGCTGGTCTAGCTCCGCTACTATGGTGGCCATGGATTCCTGCAAAGTTGTCAGGTTTCTTGCCTGCAAAGTTCTCGACCCAACAAAGTTGACAGGCTTTTGCCTGCAAAGTTCTCGACCCAACACAGTTGACAGGTTTTTTGCCTGCAAAGTTCCCGACTATATCCCGCATAAGTGACGTGTTGTGTGACTGTGGGTGGCTAAAAAACAGGTGACGTGTTGTGTGACTGTGGGTGGCTAAAAAACAGTTTCCGCACAAAATCAGGTATGTGTCGGAAGAGGTGTTTAAGTTTTTCTGATATGATGTATAGGACTCGTCTCTTCAGACATGAAATGATCACGGTGTGGCCCCTGGCCCTCGAAAACACAACTACACACACATGACACTACACACACATGTTTTTCATGGTTTCGCAAGAATTTCGGCGTTTCTGGGAAACGCCTTTTTTTTGCCACCAGGCGACGGTCGGCTCGAGCAACCCAAGCGCAAGGTGACGCGTGAACTCCCATGCCCTTTTCACAGTTCCACATGTATACAAAACATGTCACCTATTTACTGCGTGTTGTACCTGCCCATCAACGTGTGATTTCTCCCAAAAATGTTTTTGAAGGCATCAGGCGCTAGGCTTCACGGGAACCATACCATTTTGAGGGAGCCTGCGGGTGCACTGGTGCATGCAGTGTACCACATGGCCGTTTAGAGGGAGCCGTTGCTGTCGACGTGGCAGGGGATCCCAGCTGAAGCGGAACCGTGCTCACTTTGCAACTACAGCCATGCCAATGACTGATCGTGTCCACAGTACCAAGTTGTCAACAAGTCAAACCATCCTTGAAGACTTCTATAGTAACAGTCATGGCTTGGCGTCTCTTCTTCGCCCGGGCCAAGGCGGAACGGGGGAGAGCGTTTCGTCCAGTGCCCTACCGCATGGATCGTATCGAAGAGTTGCTGAAATTTTGTGTTCAACTTGCCAAGTGGCATCTCTAATTCTAACAACCTAGGTGCACACCATCCCTAGTAGGTGGAGGCCATCGCTAGTGGGTGGAGGCCATCGCTGGTAGGCGGAGGCCATCGCTAGTAGGTGGAGGCCATCGCTAGTAGGTGGAGACCATCGCTAGTTGCAGCGCAGTCTGTTGTTGTTGAACAGCCGCAGCCCATTTTTGTTTTCTTGACTTGCCGCTCTCCCCTACGTCGGCATGGCTTCGAAGCTGCCCCAGAAGTGGCGTTCAGTCAGTCATCTTCTCAGATCTCCTCAGAATCGCACAAACTTGAATATCTTACAGAGAACAAATACTGGGCCTGCAGAGTAAACTTGGGTTGGTAAACAGGGGATATATGGTCGGCGCCGATTGCTCCAAGGGCCTGGAAAGATTTCGTGGTGTGAGGAAGACGTGGCATCTTGGTACCAACTCTGGGATCGAAAAGTTGTGCCCTGACCATCCCGATTTCCACAAAAATGTTGAAGGTATATGATAGAGGCGTTCCAGGTTATTTGAGGTCTGTGCGACCGACTCGGGAACCATTGGCATTGTTTTCTCGCTTTCAATTTTTGATCTTTCTTAAGAAACCAATCCTTTGCCTTTAGATTTGTGTTAATACAAGGGTTGTCATTGCCATGAAGCTTTCTCCTTATGTAGACTGGGTGGATGGGGCGCTTGATACTGAGGTAACTCTGGCCAAGGCCATCAAGGACAATCTCCCTCTTGGACTTCTGGCAATTTTCCAGGACCCTGACTTTAAGGGCTCTGCTTTGGTTGAGCTGAGCGACACACGCTTGATCCGCACTCCAAGTGCCAAAGAGATCAGCCGCAACTACCCATGGTTGCTTCCAGTTGTGCAGTTGTGGCCAAGCAAGGCCAGAGTTGCTATAACAGGGTTTGTTCTAAACTCAACTCATTCCACAACTATAGCTACACTGGTTTTTGCATCGCGTGAGTTGTTTGTCAGAGCCAAGCCGTCGTGCAGGTTCCTTCTGCCTACTTGCTCACGGATACTTTTCTGATGCTCGACTCCATGTTGGACAAGAAGATGCTTGTGCCGACGCAGACCGAGGGGAAGCTCACACTGGCGGGACAGGAGGGCGTGAAACTGAAGAAGCTCCTCGGTGCCCTTAGGAACCTGTGGAGATCCAACAAAACCAAAGGGCTGGACGACAAGATCACTCACCTGAAATCTTACCTTTTGGCATCGCCCAGCAAACACGATGACATGGAGGAAGAGGGTTTGCCGGAGGATTTGGGTGAGAATGACACGCGTGGCGTTGGCGCAGCTGTGTCTGATTGTTCGGGCTCAGAACACGCCTCACAGGATGAGGGTGAAGATGGGGCCATTGTTGGGCGTGAGTCTTCTGACAATGAGAGTGGCAGTGAGGGCGGACGCATTCTCGAGCGTGACCCTGCTCCCAGTCACGCTGGTTCTAGTGGTGATGAGTCTGGCTCTGAATCTGAGTCTGATGCTGCCCCTCCACCGGTTTGCAATTCGCCCACACTTCGCCTGGGCGAATCGCCCAGGTCTGATGCCAAGTCCGAGACATCTATTGACTCATCTGAATCCAGCTCATCACATCGTGATTCGCAGGTCTCTTCAGGCTGGATGGGGCGTGCTATCAACCATTACACCCGAGCGGAGGAGAAGCAGCGGTTTCGTCAAGTCGTCCAGGATATCCACATGGACTTGGAATCCCAGGCGATGTCCAAGTTTGAGGGGGTAGAGTGGGACACCTACGCAGACTATTGTTTGGACACACTTCGGCGCTTTGGTGAAAGCTCGTATCACAAGCTGGCAAGTGTGGACTTCTTCCGAGCATGGTGTCGCAATTTGAAGGCGCAGGACGCGCAGTTTCAAAGTGGGTCCATGCATGTGTACACGGTTGACACACAAACCCAAATTCTAGTTGGGGTACAAGTGTGAAGACTAGTTGCCACTGCTCGCACGCCTTCTGCGCGCAGGACTTGTCTACCAGAAAGCCTACGCCCGCCCCCGTGGAAACAAAGGCCGGGTTACGGTTACATATCCAATGAAGGGCAGGTGGCCTTCTTGATAATATTGCACCTTATAATCTAGCATGACATATTATCCTGGTCCTATCAACGCCATTCCACCTTGTAGTTGGGTCAGGGGTTGATGGTCTTTGGTTTCCTTGTTAGAGATACTCCATGTACTGAACATTGTATTTCCTTCTTTGAGATGTGTAGTCTGATCCTACAGCTTTGCGATCAAAAGAGTTCAAAAACAAAGCAAGTCTCTGAGCAAGAGGGGTGCTGTTGCTGCCAGGTGCACAAGCGACCGTTCGACAGGGCCCTCTCTATGATGAACCTACCTGAACAGTCTGATCTCGACGAGCCGGAGCTGATCACGCCTGCAGCCAAGCGTCCAAAATGCATGGAAGTTGTGGCCGGTGCCCTCGAGACCACGCCGCCTCCAGTTGTTGGCCCGCAGACCGTAGCTAGTCCCTACAAATGTCCACGCTTGGTGTGTTTGCCCTGTTTTCATTAAACTCATCACCATCAAGGTTTCAAGTCAACAACTTCTTTCGCTGAGGTTTCAAGTCAATCGCTCTTGAACCTTTCGTGTGGGTTTTGATTGAGGTCAAACGCATGGCTGCGGTCAAGGCAGAGGACAACGCTGCCGAGCTTGGTGGTGGGCAGATTGGGGAAACCCTGACTGACTTCCGTGGGTATGACCTCACTGAACTTCCACTGGACGCAAGGCCTCGCGTGGGAGATGTGCACACCGGGAAACATGGATACACTCTTCGGTCCAGGACTGGTGCAGTGCTTTGGATTGAACAGCGCTGTCATTGCTAATTTCCACTTGACCCCCACAAGTCCGGTTTTCCCCCTTCAATACCTGCATTTCAAGCAGGTCGAACCGGACTTGTGGGGGTCTTTTTTGCAGGCCAATCCACATGGAGAATAGCAAACTGTCGTTGTTTTAGAACAAGACATGCCAAACGATCAGCAAAAACCTAAAAACTATTCAGGAGACACCGGGTCTTACCGCAAGAGTTTCTTTAAGTCTGACTCGAAGTGAATGAAGACCCTAGATGAATGATGAGCTTTCTCATTCTTCATTGGCCTGCCCGCCCAAGGCAATCGAAGTTCTCTTGAAGAACCGGGCCTTCGTCGTGAGAAGGACCGGGAAGGGATCGGACTCAAAGCCGGGTCAATTGACCTGGAGCAAGTTCCCCAGCTGCTCTGCAGCGTGGGACGCAGCCAAGTCAAGGGCTGCCTTTTGATAGGCATATGTTGAAGGAATGTGTTGTTCCTCATTTATCAAATTCCAGTCTCAATAGATGTAACTAAGCACAACAACTTTTGCTGGACGGTTCATACAGTAAGTAGGATTGCTTTCAGAGGAACACATTCATCGGGCTCAATGTAAATACATTGAGATCGAAGGATTGGGGTTTGCCAATTTAGCTCTTTTAGGATCTGTGAGGGCTAGCTTGGAGGGCTATAGACGTTTCTGGAGTTGACAAACGCCACAAGCAAGAAAACTACCGTGCGTTTTTTGCTTGCTATTTGCATTAGATAGTATCGAACCCCATGCATAAAGACCTTAGGAAACATGAGGTTTCTGCTGCGTGGGGTCCCACGCCAAAAGCGAGCGACCAACTTCTGGTGTCAGCCTGCCGATCGATCGCTCCAGGTACAAGCTCGAGCTGCTGGCCTTCATAGCCTGCCATTTGAACCGAGAGGAGACTTGAGTGGCGGGTGCTTGTGTGGGAGACGAGGTATAGGATCCAGTATGAAGATTGCAAGAGTCAATGGCAGTGTCAAGTTCTGGGTTGAGAAGGAAAAGTGACAGGGCTCAATCCTCTATAGATTTTGGCTCAGCCTGATTGGTGGTCAGGTTAGCTTATCCTCAGTGTCCTTTGGCGAGGATGGTGAAAAGCATTTCTGTGTCACGCAAGATGCAGAAGGTCCGAAAGGACATGCCGTTCCAGCGTGATGATCCCTCCGAGCCGGACTCTCTTCCACGGGCCTGGAAAGCAAAGCAGCGATCTTGGGTCCTGGCAGGGCTGCGGCAGCTTGAGGCACCTTTGGCGCCTTTGTTGCAATTACCAACGATCTTAAAGGGCCAATTGGAAGTTTTCAACCATGCCGGGTACTCATGGATACTCACTATAGGTTACCAGGTTCTGGGTCTTCGCCCATTGCTTCAGGTGTTTGCCACCCTGGTCAGCCTTTTGTTTGCGGTTCCGAATCTGGAGTTCGAGCCGTTGGACCACTTTGAATCTTTTGCTGGAGACTTTGAGGTCACGAAGGCTGAGTGGGCTGAGCCTCGTTCTGGAGATGTCGCATAATACATGTGTTCCCTAATGACATGTCTGTCATGTGGAGCCCTCTTGATTGTCATTGGAGTTTTCCACCTGGATATGCTGGGGCTCTTGGGAAACGACAGACTTTTGGCGCGACGATTCTGAGGAAGGCCGCCGAGCAACACCCTTCGACGTGCGCATCGATCCTAACACGATGGACCTGCTCAGCCCCCAGGGTTTTGCAAACGCACTCCACGCAGTGTGCTGCCTCAAGCCAGGGTCTGCCACCCTTGCAGCCCCAGTGTGCAGCACCTTTGTTTTTATGACCCTCGATCATGATTCATGAGAAGTGTTTGTTTATGTGTTTCTGATGTACCAAAGTGTCAGGCCAACGCTTTATTTCAACAACCATTTGTTCGTTGCTAGGTCAAGGGGCTCGACGCACCGAAGCAAAACCAATCCTCTTGGCCGCAGAGATTCCAAAGCTTGCGTGGATGGGAACATTCTAACAGCCCGCACTTTGATCCTGCTGACCTTGGCAGCAGCAAAATGCTGCTTTTGGGTCCTCGAGCAACCTATTACTTCAGTCATGGAGTACCACCCTTTGTTTCAGAAGGCTCTTCGAATGCTCTCTATGAGGAGAATGAAGATTTCAATGTCGCACTTTGGGGCGCCCACACCAAAGCGGACAATCTTGTATTCAGGCCCATTGGGAAATTTGGGAAGGCGCAACCCTCCACAAGGGTTTCAACCTAAAAGATCCAAGATGATCCAAGCTTTCATTTGTTGGGTTTTAGATTCCACCTCCTATAGAGTAACTGCCCTCCATCTCTGGCCCAGCAGAACTGTTCTCCTGCCAGGGCATCAATGCATAGATGATCTTCGGGAGCATGAAGAAGAACCTGTCCTGCAGCAGCGCCAGATGGTTGTGAAGTACACCAACGCGCGCGGGGAAGCGCGGGTGCATGGCGGGGCTGATTTGAAATCGAGCCAGTCTTACCCTGCTGGGTTTGGGGTTGCTTTGGCCAAAGTCAGGTCCAAGCACCAAAAGCGAAACTACAGGAAGGCAATGGCCTTTCTACGAGGTGCTAGGAAAACTGAGAACAAGCTAGATCTTAGGACCCGTGTCAACCGGGCCTGGATGGCTGGTGCGAACCTCCAGCCGGTCATTGACTTTTTGTCAAACCGATGACCAAATCTTTGATTTGTTGCAATTAGTGGTTGCCTGTGTTTTAGACACAGCTTCCAGCTTTGGGGCATGAAGGGGGCCCGCAGAAAAAAGACCTGCTGATGACTTGGTGTGTCCACCTACCCTTCAAAACCATTGTGACATGGAAGGCATCCCCACAAAGAACTTTTTCTGACGATTTGGACATGCTCCCAAGCCAAAACATGCACCCCCCAACTCCCAATCAACCCCCCCCCCCTCAAAGGGACTTCCTCACCCCGTTGTTGGACCTCTTCCCAAGTGGTCACTGACACAAAAAGCTCACCGACAGCCATCCGCCACCGTTCCAGGAGCATGGGCCGCCTCTATCTGAAGAGGGCCATGAGCGGAGAAGGCCTCCTGGAGTTGGCAGGGGGTGCACCGTGTTGATTTTTTTCATTGCAAATGGTCAAAAATGGATCGTGTGAAATGCAGCGAGGATCGTGTGAATTGGAGCGAAATCGTGCGCATTGTAGAATCTAGATTGTAAACCTAAAAAACACATCCTTTGTCAAAAAGAGTTCCCTCGGGTATGCCGTTTTTCAGGTCTCTTCATTTCTCAAGTGTGTGCTTTTGCTTCAGTGGCTCACAACAGGTTTTGCTAGCGCTGCCCATGCCTAGGTTGCCTGAGCATATCAGCACACCCCCTCGTGTCCGCGTGCGAGCAAAAACCCCTACGTCTGCATCTACCTCTGCTGGGGCCATGGCAAGGCCATCGGCCTTGAGGAATGGTAAGAAGACGCCCAATCAGCAGAGCATGCAGGAGTTTCTCACCGACAGGAAAAGAAAACGTGAGGCCAAAGAGATGGCCCAGGGTGAGACAGTGAAGACAGACCCAAAGCAGGACCAGAAGAAGGATAAGAAGGAGCGCATCGAACAGAAGGCAGAAGGAAAAGCTGTGAAGAAGTCAGAGAAGCCAGAGAAGAAGGAGAACACGGATCAGAAGAAGCCAGAGAAGAAGGAGAAGGGTGGAAAGAAGGATGAGAGCCCAGAGATCAGACATGACAAGAAGCCAGAGAAGGAGAAGAAGCCAGAGAAGGAGAAGAAGTCAGAGAAGGAGAAGAAGTCAGAGAAGGATAAGAAGTTAGATAAGAGGAATGGAAAGAAGGAGAAGAAGCAGAAGGAAGAGGTGCAGGAGGAGCAACGGGAGAAGAAGCCAGAGAAGACCCATGAATGCGAGAAGAAGGAGGAAGGCGAGAAGGTGGAGAAGCGGGAGGTGAAGAGTAAAGAGAAGAAGGAGAAGAAGGATAAAAAAGACAAGAAGCCAGAGAAGGCGAGCAAGAGGAAGGATGAGAAGAAGGCAGAAGAGGAGGAGGAGGCAGAAGTGGAGACTGCGAAGTCGAAGAAGATCAAGTACGTGCCATGCAAGAAGCGTAAGATCGAGCACATCTTTACGCCAAGCGTGGCTGGATCTGATTCAGGCCTGTCTGCCAAAGAAAGGGCTGAGATGAGGTTGAGAGAGTTGCAAGACACTTTGGAGGCCTCCGACGAAGATGATTCCAGCTCATGCCCTGCAACTGACTTGGAGAGACAGCTTGAGTTTGGGTCGCTGGAGAGTGATGGCGACGATGAGGCTGAGGAGGACGAGACCAATTCAGACGCTGAGTCTGAGGATGGGTCTGATGGCCAGTCAGCTGAAAGTGAAGAAGATGAAGAAGAAGATGGAAGCAGTGAGACCACAGCTGGCGAGGATGACCATGGCGATGAGGAGGAGGAAGAGGAGAGTGCGCAAGAGGAAGAGGAAGAGAAGGCAGAAAAAGGAGAAGGTGGAGATGGAGAAGGGTCGCCTCAGGAGCACGCCCTGGTGCCAGTGATAGATCAAACCAAGTGCACAACCGTGGCACTCCGCAATTCAGTGACCAACAAAAAGGATTGGGACACTTTTTGTCGCCAAGCAAAGTCCAAGATGCCCTTCAACCTGTCCGAGTACTTCACAACGGCCAAGAATGACCTGTTCAACGTTTGGTTGGACTCTGGGTGCAGCTGGAGCAAATGCGCCCTAGAAGTGGAGCGTCGACAGGCCGAAAAGAACATCTCAAAGCGGGCCTGGAAAGCAGTGCAGGGGAAGGTTTTGAAAAGCCGATACTCAGAGGAGAAGTGGAACAAAGTGAAGGAGGCTCGCAAGCAGCAAGGGCTCTTCTACTGGGATGAAGACTTCCCAGAAGACGAGGAGGCCAGCTGCATGGGATACGAAACGTTTGAGATCCCCTCCAAGTAACTCAACAAACTTCTGAGCTTTTCTTCTGAGCTTTTTGGTCTGAGTCGACAAACCAATCCCCTGTATCATCAATGCTTTTTCTCCTTTCGGTCTTGAGAAACCGGCCGCCTGTATCATCAATGCCTTTTCCTTGCACAGCTGGCAGGAGGCTTGGTACTTTGTCAGAGAGGGCAACGAGTATGTCAGAAAGGAAGAGACTTCTGAAGCCATGACTCTCAAAGCGAAAAGGGACATCGACCCGGATATGAGGGCAGCTCTCACAAGCTCGGATGGCATCATGCCAGTTGGCGCCTTGCCAAAGATGGAAGGGCTCAATGCTCAAGGCAGTAAAGCCTTGGTGGAAGCCATGGGAAAGGTCACAGCTGCTCCAAAGCGACGCCCCAAGCCAAAGGAGGATGATAAGTCTGAACCTGCGGAGCCTTTGACGACTGAAGCCAAAGGCAAAGGGCTTCTGCAGGAGATGCTAAAGGATGCAGCTGATGCCAGAACTCAGAGCATCAAGCTCTGTGACATGGAATTCGCCGAGGCGTTGAGTCAGGAGCTTCTTGAGTACGCTGCCAAGATGGAAGGGTATTACAAGAAATTGGCACAAGCTATCAAAGAGAAGACAAAAGAGGCAGAGCTGAAGGGGCTGATCGACAAGATCAGTGGCATCATGACCGGCGGAGGCAAAGCGCAGGCTGGGACTTGGGGCCTGGACAAAAGACAAAACGCACCCTGTCTCTATCAGACATGTTGTTCTCTCACTCACTCAATCTTGAGTGTGTTCTGTAGCTTATCACTATCAAACATGTCGCCCAAGAAAAGAGCTTCAACTTCTCACTCACTCAATCTTAGGTGTGTTCTGTAGCTTATCACTATCAAACATAGCATCCAAAAATGAAGAGCATAAATCATCTCTCACAGAGACACCCTTTTTCTTTTTCTACTAAGTAGGTGGATCACTTCAAGACTTGTTGCCACTGTGCCAGGCTGCAGCGGCAGCGTTCTTGAAACCCGGAAAGCCAAAGAAGACCAAGAAAAATGGGGGCGCAAAGAAGGCTAAAGCGAAAGGAGGAAAGAAGTGAGCATCCAGTTCTTGTGAGAGGGTTGGGCTCTCACCCATGGGGATTTAGCTTCAAGTGATGAACACTTGATGACTCTTTTGAAAAGTGGACCCTTAATGCTTCCAATTGCCCGGGTCCAGAAATGTGGACGCTCAGACTACGCATCGCGAGTGAAATATTCTAGCATTATTGCTTGGGCGACTGCAAGTGTGCAAAACAACCAGTTAGGCTAAGTATCAATGTCCCTCGGGCTCATGTGAACTTCATACGACTCAGTTCCCTTCAGTCAGCCCCGCCGGTGCCAGGTGAGCAGTCCTTCACGCAGCAAACTGCAAGCAGGACCATGGGCTTGCCTGAGAGGTTTCGGTTTGGGTCACAAATCAAGACACTACAGTAGTTTGTACAACTACTGGGATTTGTTGTTGGCAGGAAACGCCCAAGATTGGAGAATCTCGATGAATCCAAAACCGTGAACAAGTTCACAGAGATGATTGGTCGAGGTAGCGTAAGCATCCATGCTGCAGCTGAGATAGCTAGACATGTGGCACCTCAGCCTCAAAAAAGATCTTACTTCAGCAAAGCTGTTTTACTTCCTTTTTCATTTGATAGCTCGCCTCAACTCCACTGCAATCTCTCTCTCTCTCTCTTTCCCGTGTCCCGTGGAGGTTGATGACTTTGGGATCCCGCACAAAGCGATCGATGCCTTTGCGAGCCTGGGCAGCGCTGGCTCGCATCCAGGGAATGAGGAGAGGGACCTTCATCGTTGGATGAGAAACTTGTGGGGACTCACCTTAGAGCCATATACGATCTACTGCGACCTGGAAGTTCTGTGCCTGCATCTGCTTGTTTTGTTTTTTAGTTCCAACCGAATCTTGTCTGGCAGGCCTTGGGTAGTTTAATTGTTCTAGGTGGAACCCTGTAGCTGAGGTTCGAGGGCAGGGTGAGACTCATCGAACTGCGGTCCCTGTCTTGTTACCTCACGAAGTACTGCACGCTCTGTCCAAGACGAACCCTTACGCCTTTTCATCGATCATGCTGGGAAACCTAGATGACCAAAGCCGTGTTGACTTCTGGAAACACGTTCGAACTTGCGAGCCGTGGAGAGAGCACCCTTGCTTGCAAGATGACTCAGCCTTGAGTCGACTGGTCGGCTTTACCTATCATGGGGATGGTGCCCAGTTCTATAGGGAGGACGAGTATTTTGTATGGAGTTTTGCAAGCGTATTTGGAGGGCAGGGTTCAATCAAAGACGTGCTACTGTACCGATTCCCTTTGTGCATTATACCGGAGCGATTTATGAAAAGCCACCATGTCCGCGACGCGGTCCACCAAACCATCGCCGAGCTCACCTCGTGGTCGACGACCATCTCCAGTCGTGGAATCGGTCCTGACAAGGGTTTTCATGGCGAATGCCTTCAGAAAACCCCCAGGGCTGAGTTGATTGGTAATGAACTGGCGAAGGGTTGGAAGAGCCTAGTCAGGATTTGCAACATTTCTTGTTTCTGATCCACCCCCAAAATTATACATAAGTCCACACATGATCTCAACCAGCACCTTCCTTCCTTCGCTGAGGGGATGTTTCTTTGCCTTCAAGGCTGATCTGAAAGCCCGGCATCAGATGCATTTCTTGGGGAGGTACTACCAATGCAACCAGTGCCCCGGTGAACGTTTCAAAAAGTTGGTTATATATATATGTATATTTATATATGTCTTTTCGCTAGAAACCCCTGTGTCAGGGAAGTGAAATAGGTAAACTGTCATCAGGATGTGCGACAGATGTTTGGCTTTGCAGGGGGGCCGTTGCCCTCCCCACCTGGACTATCGCAACATCACCGAGTCTGCAGTCTGGCCATTGACTGGGATCAGTCATGACACGTACATGAGATTGGACGCGGCCTCACTTTCCCCATGGAAGGACATGCCCGGGTTTCATTTTCATACCATCAGCTATGATTGGATGCACAATTGCTACCTTGGGACCGGTAGAGACTTGTGCGCCAGCGCCATCAAAGTCTTAATTGACTACTGCGGATTCGGTGGTGGGAGCGATTCGGGGAGCATGGACGCTGTACTAGCCGATGTTCACCAACGCATGCGAGATGTTTGCGCCCAATACAAGTTTCCTGACCTAGCTAACATACAAAGCTTTCAGCTTTTGATGTTTTTGGTGCTCTTGGTGTGGGGACTCTATATCTTCTCAAACAGTCAAGGATCAGTATGCCTGCCAAGCCGCAATTCACTACTGCAAATCTAGGTGGGGAAGATGGATATTTTGAGTTGGGGTCGCGATTCAAGGCATCGCATGTGAAGTTGATAATCTGGTGGCTCTCCAAAGAATGCCAAATTGTGGCTGATGCGAACCCGTCAGATACTTGATCGGGATTTCCCCAAAAGGTGTTTCTTCTTTTGAAATGGTTTTACCTTTGAAACTACCAAACACGTTTGCGAAACATTCGGGCTCGCCAGACTCGCCCAGGAACCAGTCCTCAACGTCCTGGCCACATCGACCTATGGCCTGCAGCGGTTCATTGAGCTGATGGACCAATGTGGAATCGTTTTCACGGCTCGCGAAGCAGCTGAAGCAAAGAAGTGTTTAGATCTTCATTTGAAAGCGTACTATTGGTTAGCTGCTCATTTCTATTCCAGAAGGCAGTTGCTTTTCAAGCTGCGTTGCAAGTCGCATTATCATTTCCACATGGCTGAAGATGTCATCAGTAATCGTTTGAACCCCTCAATATTCCACAATTTTAGTGAAGAGTCATTTCTCGGTAAGATTAAGGCTATAGCAATCCGCTGTCACGGCCGCACGTGCGTTCGACGAGTGCTGCAGCGCTATCTACTGTGCCTGTCGGTTTGCTTGAATGATTTTGAAAAGACAGAGGCCCGATGGGCGTAGGATAGAAGCTCGGTTGTTGAGGCGCCATCAACTTTAATTACCTTAAACCACTTCTGCTCAAGGCCTATTCCCATCAGGCGTTTGCAGTTTCCAGGGGTCGCCAAGCTAGCTGAAGCTAAGCTAGTCTTGCAAGCTGAACACTCGCTGAATCGCTGGCGAAAAAACCAGATGGCCTCCGTCAGTCAGCCATCCATGCCATGGGCCGATCCATGGAACAGGGTTCATGTTTGCAGCGCTGCAATCAATGTTTATCACTGTTTTCGAAAACATAGGTTTCAACAAATACTTAGAACAACACCCAGTTCTTTTGCTCCACATCGGTCTCTTCACCGGGCACATGGCGTGGTTGAGCATGAAAGTGGTATGTGGTGATTTCATGTTGTTTGATCTAGTTTTGAAAAAGGGTTCGCGACTTCGCACTTGACTATGCGATCCACGGTCCAGGGCTGGCAACGCCTCCATGTGAAGCAAAAAACTTAGAGTTTGGTTTCCCTTCTGTGTTCAAAAAAAGAAACTCATAGCTTGATTTCCCTCCGGTGTTCAAAAGCAAAGGCTCGAAACTCGAAACGTCGTGAGAGAGAGTGAAATCTGTGTAGTTCCTCCAGGTTTGCTCTAAAGCCCTTCCTTATACCAAAGAACAAACGGTGACAAACTGGCACGCGCGCGCACGCCC